GGTCCCCGTAGCCCCGGCTCCCCCTGCGGACAGTGGAGAGGGAAAGGGCATCACCACCGGGACCACCCGGCACCTGTCACAGGGGACGTGCCCCCCTGTTCCCGCAGCGCACCCACCTTTTCTCCTTTCACCTTCGCAGTGACCACGGTCCCATCGGGGCTGATGATGACACCGGGCTCCCCCTTCTCCCCCTGCAAGAGAGGAGGGGGCACGAGGGGAGATGGAGGGAGTGGGCTCCCTGCCACGGCAGGGCTGGCATTGCCGCTGGGACCCGGTGACCAGGCAGGATGGGGGACCAGAAGCATGACCACCCCAACGGGGCAGAGGTGGCCTGAAGCACTTACCTTCAAACCTGGGGAGCCCTGGGGACCAGAGGACCCCCGATCACCTTTTGGTCCCACCGGGCCCTGCAGGGAGGAGGACAGAGCCTGTGTCAGCCCTGACCCACCAAAGGTAGACCCCAAACCCCATCCTCCATCACCACCACCCCAGCACTGCTGCGGCAAAGCGCGGCAGGACTGGCAAGCAGAGGTTTCACCAAACCGTGCCCAGAGCTTTCACCGGGGCCACCCCTGCAGCCCCCAGCCCTGCCACCGACTCACCGGGAAGCCGGCGTGACCCTGTCTGCCCTGCGGAGAGAAGCAGCAATGCTTGTAAGAGCAACCCTTTCCAAGAAACCAGATGCCTACCCGGCACCGCCGAGGGGTGGGCATGGATGGCAGGGGGGCACTTACCTCTGGACCAGGCAAAGCCATCAAAGACTTCTGGAAAAAGAGACAAAACTGGGTTTTCAACCTGATCTTTGCTCTGAAGAGGTCAGAGGTCCCCCTGCATCATGGGTGCTGGGCAGGGCCGCCCGCACACCCCCAGTTTTATTTTAGCTCCCTCCAGCCGCAGTGAACCCAGGAGCCATCACTTACATCTTCGCTCGAGACAGCCACAACCTGTCCGGGGGGACCAGGGGGACCGGGGGGGCCAGGCAGCCCCACACCGTCTTGGCCTCGCTCACCCTGGAAGACACAAGTCATCAGGCCCAGGGCCACTGCTGGCCGGTCCCCGTCCCCAGCCTGGTGACACGTACCTTCTCGCCGGGGCTGCCTCTGTCGCCTTTGGGTCCCTGGAAGGAGGAGCAGGCAGGGGTGGGCTTCCCGCGTGGCACCACGCACAGCCCGACCCTGGCTCACAAGCAGAGACCCCCTCCTGCCTGCAGCTCAGCGAAATCTTTCAGGCCACCCCCCGCTGCCTGCAAGGTAGGTCCAGGCAGCGAGCCAGGGGGGGGATGCTTTTTGGGGGGAGGCGATGGCAAGCAGGGGGGCAAGCTGATGGGGGTGGGGTCACAAGCAGCATGCGCACTCCGGCACGCGGTGAGCCCTGTCCCAGGGCGGGGGAAGAGTGGGAGGCACCGGGGGGATGGATTTTGGCTGCTAGGGGTAGTATTTGGTTGCCGGGGATGGATTTTGGCTGCTGGGGATGGAGCTGCTGCAAGTGGTCCTGCAGTGAACAAGGGTGCCCTGCCTGCAGCGAGCGGGGGGCTTCTGGGAATGGGGGGGCTGATGCTCCTACCTGCGGTCCAGGGAAGCCCTCCAGGCCAGGGCGGCCGTCCACGCCGGGCACGCCAGCATCTCCCTGCAACGAGGCGTGGATGCAGTACAGAGCATCCTCCCGGCAGCCCCAGGTTGGGGAGCACGGGGGTCCTCCCCAGCACTCCACCAACCCCAGAGGCTCACACACAGCCCGTCCTGACCTCTCGGCGCTCCTACCTTCGGTCCCGGCAAGCCGGGCTGCCCAGGGGTGCCGACCTCCCCCTGCAAGGAAAGATGTGTCAGAGCAGGAGCATCCCCATGGGCATCCTGCAAGGATGGAGCCAGGCTCCTGCAGCGGGCTCCGGCAAAGGGCGAGGACGGCGTTTGAAGATCTCCTCACCTTCAACCCCGGCAGTCCCGGCACGCCCTGCGAGCAGCAAGAAGGGATCCATGAGCGTGGGGTGATGGCAGGGGACACAATGGTGGGAGATGGCCCAGGGAGGCCAGGATGGAGGGGGGGGGGGGGGGGGGGTCCTGTGGTCCTTCGGGTCCGGGTGGTCCAGGGGAGACGGCAGTGAACGGCAGCCCCGAGCCCTCCATGTCACCCTAGGTGGGGAGGAGAAGGGACTGAGCCACGCCTGCCCCCCGCTCCATCACACCACTCCATCACAGGGGTGACCACTTACAAATCCAGCCTCGTAGCCCGGCCCTGGCGGTCCCGGGGGGCCGGGGGGCCCTGGCTGCCCTCGGGGTCCGATGGGCCCGGGAAGGCCAGCTAAGCCCATTTCTCCAGGGGCTCCTGCTGGTCCCGTTTCTCCCTTGCTGCCCTGCAACGGGGACAAGAGAAAGAAGGGGACAGATGAGACAAGGTGACAACGGTCCCTGCCTGGAGCCTGCAAAACGGAGGCAGCGCATCCCCTCCTGCATCCCCAAACTGCCCCTTGGGACAGGGCTCGGATGCTCCCCTGTTTCCGGAGCAGAGGGGCTTTGTGGGATGGGGGATCGCACAGCCCTGGCTCCCTGTGCAATGTGCACTGTGACCACCAGAGGCTCGTCTAAAATCATAAATGTGATTTTTTTTTTTTTTTTTTTTTTTTTTTTCTTTGCCCCGCCGCCGGTCCGCCG